ACATTGTGCTGTATGCATTCAGCTCGCTGAAATGCATATTAATGCAAAAGGAACTGAATATATCTCTATCATTGAGATGCATACAGATAGTGCTCTGCAATGAAGTGAATGCATTGAGCTGCATTCAGTTCATACAGAGCACTATACGTTGTTTGATACTCGGTTTAGTTACTCAATGTGCATCGCATTTACACTATACATACTCTAGCATTTGGTTTCTCTTTTGTGGCACGAGGGGGCTGTAGCATGCGTTCTTCCCTCTAGCTATGTTTGGCGAAAGGCTCTGCTCCGCTTTAAGGGAGCGATTTTTTTTCGTTGTTGACAGTCAGTTGGAAGTTCATGGGAGGTCACTGGATTGCGTGGGAGGTACGGGCAAGTGTTATGGGTAATTTGTGGGTAAAATCTGCCCAAGTATTTCATGATCGTTGGGTATTTCTTCGTTGATGAACAGTTTTTTCCAATTTCATTACATGCATGCATACCTTTCGAAGAAATTCATTTGTTGCACCGTGAAGATTACTTGATTATTTGCTTATTTGTTTTCGTCTCATTGAAAAGATTGCTGCCCGAAAAAAAGGCCGTCCTCCCTTCTATTAAGCGTCTAACGTTGTTTCCGTTATCGTTTCAATCTAGTGATGCTAATCTAAACTCGTGAATTTAATCACTATCATCGAAGTCATCAAATTTCTTTCAGTTGTTTACTTTGTGCCGTCAACGGTATTGAATTAGATGTGCTGTCCTTCTGAAAGCGAAATAATCCTAATCAAGTATTCCTTACGAAATAATCACCTCATTTTTTTTACTATGCGATGATCTTGTGTGATTGTTTCATCGCGTTTCCTTTGCACCATACATAAACCCAGCACTCATTTAGTCTCTCCTGATGTTTGCCTTCTATCCTGTTAACACTTCCAAAAACTGAGTGATGTCTAGCCACACACCGTCAACGTTTTACCAGCACAGTCCGTACTACTCAGTCTCTATAACATCTATGGAATCGTTTCTTTAATCATGTTGTTACGGCTGCCTGTTTGCGAAAGGCAGCAGAGTATTGAGCGAACGCAGGCAGGCAGTCTTTAGAACACTCTGCACTTGTCGTATTTTAGTTGGAATACATTTATTGCATTGGGACCGGTTCAGTGTTGCTGTTTTTACTGCTGACGTTGGTTGGTCGATTGGTAGGTAGAGTATGATGGTGTTTCATTGTACGTAGTAATAGCAGACTGGATCTGACTGTACACTGCAAGTAGGTATGGTGAGTTGTATTCGCTATTGCCAGTTTTGCAGCAAACACCTAGCAGATCAAACAGAAAACATAGTAGACTGATATTGATAGGAGATCGATTTTGCAAGTAAATTGTTTGTTTGCGTATTTGCACAGGCATACTTCATGTTGCTAGTATATAATGCTTATGAAGGAATGTAATTTTATTGTTGCATTTTACTGCTTCATATGTTTGATCGCTTCATGTTGCGTTATTTATTGATATTGTTTTATTTTTTTGTGAACATATTGATTGCTTTATGAGTTATACTCATACTCTTTTCATATTGCAGTAGCAATTTGTTTATTTATTTTTGTTTTGTTATATAATCTTGTTTAGTTTCACCTTTGGAGAATTTACTTTGCAATGCTTTTTAACTGAAGTGTTCCTTCGGCTTCTACTGATTATAGTAGAGAAGTTGAGAATATAAAGAAGGGTGCAATGCGGCTGATTGCAAATCCCTTCTAGTTGTATCGAGCATCCATCCATTAATTTTTGCACGAGATTTTACCTTAGCCAAGAACCGAATGATCAGGATTTTAAGGCGTTTCCAGTGCCACAATATGAAGAAATGATCTGTAACGAGATTTTGCTCAAATAGATATAGTTCGAGTTGAGCGGAAATAATTTTTCAGTGCAAACGAGTTGGAAATGTTCATTTTAGAGACTGAACAAATGCAGATTTGAGAGAGTTTGTGAAATTTATCATTGAATGTAAAAGTTTCGAGCAGACAATCACATTTAGTTCATGATGTATTCATGTGTTGGTTTATTGAAGTGATTCCGTATTGTTATTTGGTTAACATTAGCGTGGTTATTGGTGCAGTATTCATTTTGTGAATTCCTCTCGTAATTGGTTCTAGGTAGAACTAAAGTGATCTAGAAAAATGTCGAAAGCTTTCATTGGCAAACCAGCACCAGCATTCACTGCAACTGCAGTCATAGACGGGGATTTCAAGACGGTCTCACTCTCAGACTACAAGGGTAAATATGTGGTGCTCTTCTTCTACCCAATGGACTTGTTCGTTTTGCATTGTTTCGTTGTTCATTCGTTCCGTTATTTGATAGTTTTCTACTTATACCTAGAAGGCCTTCAGGTTTGTCGTTTTATATGAATGGTTGTTATTCTATCTCTGCTTGATATTAGTGTCTTCTCGTTGTACCAATTAGTAGCCCTAATGAATTGGTATCCTTGATTAATGGTCTTCAAGGAATCACTTTTGTTGGGGACAGAACAGTCAGCCAACCTTTCGGAATCTAATTTCTGATTTCAGAATCTGATTTTGGCAAAATACACTCAAATTCTACCAGCGTTGCTGTTGAAATGAAGTATCGAAATGAAGTTTTTAGCTTTTTGTGGTTGCATAACGAATTTTCAAGTTGTTCTTTTTTGAATTGCAGCACATTCGTGTGCCCCACGGAGATTATCGCGTTCTCGGAACGTGCCGAGGAATTCAAGAAGTTGGGCTGTGCAGTGTTGGCCGCCTCAACCGACTCACAATTCACGCACTTGGCCTGGATCAACACACCGCGCAAACAGGGCGGTCTTGGCCCGATGCATATCCCAATTCTGGCCGATACAAACCACGAGATGAGCCGTGAATATGGCGTTCTGAAGGAGGACGATGGAATCGCTTATCGGTCCGTTTTGAGTGGATTGTTTGGGAGGGATAGATGGAGAATGAATAGAATTGGAAGTTCAGAAAGCAAACGAAATGATTCGAGAGTGATCGTGAGATTGAGGTTGAAGTTTGCTGATTGGTTTGTTTGGGGCGTATAAAATGGAATGGTTCATTTTTAGTGGATTGTTCATCATTGACCCGAAAGGAGTTTTACGTCAAATAACGATAAACGATTTGCCAGTGGGTAGATCGGTTGACGAGACTATGCGCTTAATTCAGGCATTCCAATTTGTGGACAAACACGGAGAGGTGAGACAATGTTTTTGGAATGAATAGTTTTTGTTGTTTCAGAGATACATGCATGCATGCTTATACTTTTTTGTATTTCATTCTCCTGCAGCAGATTAGTTTTGCAGAGTGCTGCATGTTAAGTGCACTGTTCCATTGGAAGCATTTGAGCAGGTTTTTTTGACTCAGTTTTGAAAATTTACCTTAGTTCTGGTGTTGTATGAAGGATCTGAAAGGTTTATGGAGCGATTGCTTTAAAAAATAGACGTGAAGAAAATGAACACGATTACTGCAAAATGAAATAATTGAGTTCAAGTGGTATCTGACAAGGCATAAGTTGTATCCACCACATTTGAGTTCCACAAAGTCTCAAATAACGGCCACATGCAAAAATTAATAACTCTATGAGCACCAGAAGTAAAAGTTATGCTTAACTGCAGATCTACTTATGTTTCAGGATGGTTTTGTGTTGATAAAATAGATGTTCAATTGTTATTTTGATAGGTTTGCCCAGCCAATTGGACACCAGGCAAGGACACGATCAAGCCGGGCGTAAAGGAGAGCAAAGCATATTTCGAGAAACATTAAGCATTGGACACTCTGACAGTGTGCAGATTGACAACTTGTTTCTCAGTAATCATTATCGATATTCTGTTGTTGTTGTTTAAATTTTTTTAAATGTTGCCCCAGAACGGTGTTATGTTATAAATGTCTTCCGGTTTCATTTCATTTCATTTCATTGAGTTCCTCGAATATGTTGTGCTAACGATAAGATTGCTAATCGGTATCTATTCTTCCAACTTGTTCTGATCTTCCACTTGATATTATTATAATCATGCTTGATCATTTTGTTTTTATGGACAGTTTATTAATCGAAACAATAAAGTATTAAAACAAGAGTTTTGTGTTGTTGTGCAATGTATATTGTTAAATTTCGCTGATGTGATACGTCTGGAGGAGTATTTGGAGAGGATGAAGGTATTGGTTATCGAGTTTAGATAATGGGTTCGGCTCTGTGGGTTGACTCATCATTTTTGAGGGTAACTGGTTGAGAAGAATTGTGAAGTTGTCATTTTTTAAGATAAAATTATCTGGAGTTGATGGGGAGTTTAACAAAACGAATTGCATTGCAGTGATAGGCATGGTGGGATGTGTTCGTCTCCANTGACAAGGCATAAGTTGTATCCACATTTGAGTTCCATAAAGTCTCAAATAACGGCCACATGCAAAAATTAATAAATAATTCTATGAGCACCAGAAGTAAAAGTTTCATTGAAGTAAAAGCAAACCTAAACTGCTGTACAATGGCAAGGGGTAGCCAACAAAACTAATGCAAGAATTAAGATGAGAGCAAAGAACCGAGAATCAACCCTTGTGCCAGCTTTCATCTGTCAAGTCAATCAAATGAAATAAATAAAAGATCAAAAAATGCTCAAAATGATCAAAAATATATTCGATGTACAGACTGACGAGCGATTTGATATTGTTCGTTCATACGGTTCGCATGCCTGATGTGTAGTGATCCGTGTGCACTCGTGAACTGCAACATAACTAACGATAAATTATTTTTATTCTAATTTCATGATAAACCATATTTTCCTTGATTCAGCAATTTTCTTTTGATGATTCCTTGTTCCCAGAGTGCTTAATCATTCAGCTGCACAATTTCGACAGCTTACGTTAAATATCTGTGAAGTTTAACAGAAAGCTCGACCGATTGTTATTGCTGTTGTAAACATTTTTTAATAGTAACTTAATTTTATCGTTGCTTTGTCGACTTCACAATTAAATTGTGCGGCTAGTTTTGTTCGATAAATGTTGTGAATTTCAAGGAGTTCAGTTGGATCGGTAATGTGATGAAGAGTAATGAAGAGTTCTGTGTTTTACCAGTTTAAAATACAATTCAGTGCTCAAAAAATTCAATTCTTCTCGTACTGCATTGAAACTGTTTATATATTGTTTGAATTTATGGTGTTATAAATATCTGGCTGAAATGATAGCAATGAATGATTGAGGTTTGCAGGTGAATAGTGCAGAAAAATAAATAAACGTAAGTGAGAAGTGAGTTGACCTTGCAATAATGGTCGTTGAAGGGGGCTCAGCTGCAGCCAAGCAATGTTTTGTTGAGCTGGCTAAGGCTGACACTAGTGGAGATTATGATAAGGCACTGAAAACTGCGAATAAAAGTAAGTTCTCTGATTATTCCATGTGTTTTTTAATTTGAATTTATTATTTATCAGATCGATCTTACTTACATTATTATCAGACAATTAGCTAACAGATAGGAGGCAAATCATCGTCTAGCTCAAGCTCACAACAACAATGATATTGGTACACCGTTCCCGTTCGCGAAGAAAAGTTTCACTCGAAAACGAGTTGTCTACCATTATCATTAATGTTATTATCGCTGTTCTTAAGGATTTGTTCTTCAGTTTAGTAGTATAGCTTCAGTTTAGTTGGTCAGTGGTATTGATAGATTTTGATCGTAGATAAATTGAGTAGAATTGGGGTAGTATTCAGTGATCATTTTCCTTATTACCTTACGGCAAGAACTGCATCATTTCAACTTAACTGTGATCATTCACGGATGTGGTTAATGTTTTAAAGATACTAATGAAGAAATTATTTCAGTACTGAGAAATTTTCCGAAAGAAACGTTGGCTTTCAAATGTAAATTGGTGGCACAGATTCAGCTGGGTATGTTTCAAGATGCACTCGCTTTGATCAAGAAAACACCACCGCAGCACATGGGGTATGGCTAAGTGATTGTTTT